GGGGGGGGGGGGGCGAAAATTGGTTCAATTTTTCTAAAACCGACGTCGATCTGCACCGCAGTGGTAGCTCTCAGGGTGTACTGTCTATAGAGAAACCCATCAGTTGCATCGCGTGGAGGAGCGGAAACAGCGAAACGCATTACTGTAAGTTGAGAGCGATAGACGTACGCGTGTCACACGCTATACGGTTCTTTGCTCCGTTCTGCGTGGTCGGCAGAAAAGCAGGCGAATACTCTAATCAGCAAGCTCAGCAGGCTGCTGCGGCAAATGTGATGGTGGTGTGGATGGAGGCATAGAATACACCTCCTTCGTCTTATGAAATCACTCTGATTCTACAGTACGTAGCGGAATACTGGATAACCCGCCGTTGTGCTGTGCTGCCGCTGCTGCTGCCGCTACCGCTGCCGCTGCCGCTGCCGCTTTGTGCATACATGTCTTCGGGACGAGTTGGTCCCAATTGTCCGCTAAAGCGGGGGATTTTGTTTCTTGTGCCGACCTCCAGGAATGCCAGAGTCAGAAAGAACGTGTACGCTGTGCTAGGCCTGTCCAACACACTAAATCATTCCCCTTGACATCCAACCCTACGGCCCGCGAAAGTGCGGCATAAGTATGCCACGATTGATTCCCGGCCCGTGCCCGGCTTGCGCTCGCCCATCTACATGTATCATATGGAGTACTCCTGTATGTATCGAGGATTATTCTACAGGTTCATCACAAGAAGTTTTCACGCGGGTGTTCGTCTCGGGCCAAGACTACCACTCCTCTCGAGAGACTTCGGTACACAACAGAGCTGCTTGCTTGAGAGCAATAGATTGACAGAATTTGATTCATGGAGGCGATAGCCGTTCAAGTTGTTGCACGTGGTGTTGTACTACAAGCACTTTTCCGAGGTATCGCTACTATGTATGTGAGCAGACACAGCAGGTGCCGGCCTGCGCCATGTTTCTGGTGTGTTGTTAGTCTACATTTTAAACCGTTCCGTTCTCTCTGCCTAGTACCTTCTTCTGTCCGTACTACTTACTGTAGTCTAGTCTTAACACTTAGACTAACGAGGTCGATTCCCGTGGCCACAGGCTAACTTCCCCCCAAAAAGGTAAACGAGCCATGTATAAACTCTTATCATAGTCTAGAGCGAGCGGATGAGTCTATCGAGTCCCCAACCCCACCGCCATGCATAAACTTGCAGCAGTCCGATTTCTGAGGGGCTTTCTTTCAGAGTAGTTGCTCATTTTTGCGACGGGTTCACTGCTGTCATATTCATGCGTACAAGACATGAATACATGACCGATCGACAAGTGTGCAACGCCAAGCAGAGTGTATCATATTGTGGAAAGGTCAACACTGAACAGGCAGTCCAAAAGGCCTTTGTGTTTAGACTACAGGAGTGTGAACTACTTGTCGCCCAAAGTTCCTGTCGCAGGAAATTATCACATGCATGGACTTCTCCCTTCTTCCCCTCGCTCCTCGACAAGCTTTTGCTTAGACATGGGTTGTAGCGAAGGGGGGGGTCTTTCTGGCGAGCAGGGCTAGACTCACCCTCAAGGGATGACCGAAACCTTCTTGCTGCTGCGCAT